CAGATCCTGGGGATGGTCATGGGGAGCCCCCACCCCACACCAGATGCTTCCGTGGGGTGTGGAGGTGTTGGGGTAACCTTTGGTGGGGTGGGTGGGGGAGGATTGGCAGGTTACCTCTCACACCCCCTCTCCCATCGCTTCCCTGGGGTCTCCTGCAGCCCCCCCCTGGCCCGGCGGGGAGGGCAGATGGGGAGGTGGGCAGGGGACGGAGCATCCCCCGGTGCCTGCGTGGGCTGGGTGGCTGTGTGCGCAGGAGCTGGTACAGAAACGTGCTGGCATCCAGGAGCTGCCGCGGGAGACGCTGTCGGATGCTCTTTACGCCCCCGGGGACCTTCTCCCACCCCTTCTCTGAGCCTCCCCCACCCCACCCTCCAGGCTGCCTCACGTGTCCGCGGGTGCCCCCGTCTCCCCTCGCTGAGTCCTTCAGAAGGTGCCTTAGTCCTCCTCCCCACCTACAGCAAAGGACCTGACTGGGGCAAAAAAGAGCAAAAATTGGTGGTTTGAATCGAGGTGGCTGATTTCCCAGCCCCCACAGCAGCCTCAGAGGGGCCATTGCCCGAGGCATGACCCAAGGCAAGCCTTGGATAGATGGGGCTTTGAGCAACCTGGTCTGGTGGGAGGTGTCCCTGGCCATGGCAGGGGGTTTGGAACGAGATGGTCTTTAAGGTCCCTTTCAACTCTGACCATTCTGTGATGCTTGGGATGGATGCCAGATGGATGCTCAGTGCACCCGGGGGTGCCTGGCCACCCTCAACTGAGCTGCTGGGGTTGGCGGGGGGGGTCCCTCTGTGACCTTCACTGGGAGCTTATGGATAGAGTCAGGGCCAGGGGGAACGTCTGGTAACTTGTCTGATCATGAAGGAAAGGGCCAAGGCTCACACCCCATGCAGAAATCCATCTGCTGGAGGGGCACGATGGTCTGGGGCTGCCCAGGGGTGTTTGGAGCAAGGATGGGGTGAAACCTGGGGAACAGGACAGTGAGCAGGAGGACTTGGCAGAGAGCAGCGAGGGTCCTGGAGAAGAGCAGAGCCAGCGGCGAGCACTGAGCTGTGCTGTGTGACACCAGGGGGGACCAGCCAGGCTCAGGGAGGGGGGCGGGAGGGGGTGTCAGGAATTTGTTGTGGGGTAACCGAAGGTCAAGAAGCAGCGGGAAGTGTCCTTGGAGAAGTGTGGGGCTCGCTCGGACCTCTGCCCGGCGGAGCTGCCCTCCCCCATCTCCTCTGCCTGCTGCCTGTGTGTCTCTGTGACTCCAGCGGCGTGACTGGGGGATGAATCAATGCCCTGTCCTTTTCCTTCCTTGGGTTACGGCCACCAGGTTTTCCATGCCTTAGTAAGGCATGGCTCGAGCCTCGGCGACGGAGGGAGCGAGCCCTGGGCTTCTGGCTTGCTGTGAGGTGTAGTTGAGGGCTCTCGGGGAGTGCAAGTCAGGCTATAAAGTGTGAGGCTTATTTTTTTTTTCCTCTTTTTTTTTTTTGAAACCGAAAAAAAAAAAAAAGCCCTCCCACCATCACAAGATGTTTCTGTCTAACGGCTTCATTCTCTCTTCGCTAAATACAAATTACGGCTCTGACACACCGGAGGCGCTTATCTCCAGCTGAATGCCAATTGCTTTCAGGAACAAAATGTTTGAAGTTCCTTTAAGGTGAAGGCAGCAGCATGGTCCCTGCTGCCGCTTCCAGCCTCCAGAAACCTGCTGTCATCACCCCGGCTTGGGTCCCGGGTCCCCGGCTGGGAGAGGAGCAGGGGAGGGGGACGGACACGGGGCCAGTGGCTACATTTAGACATAGCTCAGCCCTCCTGGCTCAGCCCCGGGGGAGGGGGACGGGACGGGGATGTGGCCCTGGCCTGACGTTAGCAGTGGCGTGTCCCCTATAATAACACCGTGCCCCGGCTTGGGCTCTCCCTCTCCCCGTCAGCCTCGGAGATGAGTCTCCCCGTCCCCGCCGTGGGGTTTGGTGGGGTAAAACCGGAGCCCGGGCAGGTCCTGGTGCCGGGGCTCTGACCTCCGTTGGGAAGCGTGGACTTGAGGTGGCTGTGGTGCTGCTGGCCGGTGGGACGCAGGGAGCACCGGCTCCGCGATAAGTGCGTGCCGGTCCCCTTCCCCCGGTGGCCCCGGTTGTGACACTCGCCTGACGGAGAGCTGTCTTTCTCCTTTCAGGAATAAATACTCGGCTCCCGGCAGCGTCGCCGCCGTCATGGGCAAGGACTATTACAAGATTTTGGGCATCCAGTCCGGCGCCAACGAGGATGAGATCAAGAAAGCCTATCGGAAAATGGCCCTGAAGTATCACCCCGATAAGAATAAAGACCCCAACGCCGAGGAGAAGTTCAAGGAGATTGCGGAGGCTTACGATGTCCTGAGTGACCCCAAGAAACGAGCTGTTTACGACCAGTATGGGGAGGAAGGTAAGGGGATGAGCACCCTCCGCTTGGAGGGAGGGGTGTGGGGTCAAAACCTTTTTTTATAGGCAAGGGAGTGTTTTTGCATGGAGGTGTCCCTGTGGTTCATGCCTGACCCCAAAACAGGGCTAATAGCCACAAAAGTGGGGAGGGCAAAGGCTTTGCTGATGCCAGAAATTGCCTCTCGACCCGCTTTTCCCTGGGCTGCTCCGCTTTTCCAGCCTGCCACCCTGCTTCCTGGGATGGCCGGGCTCTCCCTGCCCTCCTTCCCAAACTCCCAGGAGCCGGCTGAGATGGTGGAGGTGGAAGGAGCTCACCTCCTGGGTCATACCTGGGGTAATTAGCGAGCAGCCCTTTAATTGACCTAAATATCCCAGCATAGAAGTACTGCTTTCGCTCACGTTTCCCCCCACCCCCGCACTTGGGCGCTGGTCCTGCTGTCCTCCCCGGTACGGGCTGACCTACAGGATTCAAAGCTTTTCCCAATTTAAGTAATAGGTCCTTGTTTTGAAACCAAGCGGCTGCTGTTGTCTGGTGGTTGGCACGGGAGGAGGAGGAGGAGGAGGAGGAGGAGGAGGAGAGCAGGCTCCACCGCAGGCGGCCTTATTAGTCGAAGATGGAAGAGCGCAACCCCATTCGAGGAGAGCGCCGAATAGCATCTGCATTAATCAGCCCAGGGCTTGGGTGCTTAAAAGAGCAGGAGGTCTGGCAGGAGCAGGCTGCCTGGTGGAAGAGGCAGCCCCTCTCGTGGGGCCAGCGGGCAGGTGCATCCCCTAACGAGCCACCGGCAGAATTAACCGGTGGTGGGTTAATTCTCGACCCGTTAAGTTATGTCAGGGCTGTGATGGATGCACAGGGCACCGTGATTTGCCACCCTGTAAAGTGAGAAGAGGCTGCCTCAAGTTGGGAAACCAGCCTTTCCCCACAGGCACCCGAAATCAGACCCGGCTGGGACTGGCGTCACGGGATTAAAGGTGAAACCTCCTGGCTGTACAGTCTGTTAGGGACAGGGGCTTGCCAGGGGTTTGGTGAAATCGACCCCTCATTGCAGCAGGATGGGGAGCCCCAGCAGAGCCAAACTCTGCCGGGTCAGTTATGGCCCATGGAACCCAACACCTATTATTTCCCATCATACACCTTTTTTTTTTAATGGAGCAACATGCCATGGGGATCAGTATTTCAAGGACCTTCTGGGTCCCACATGTGTGGGTGAGCAAGGTGAAGTGAAAGCCCCCTTTCCTTTCCTTTAACCCCGTGAGAATATTAACTTCATCAATCAGAAAAGAGACCCCCCAGACTTGCCCACTCTGTGCTTGTCCCCCTTCTATCTCTGCCCAGGGTGGGGAGCAATGGGTGGCTGGCAGGAGGGACAGCCTGTCAGAAATAGCCCTTCACTGTCACTGACCTGCCCTGAAAATAGTCCTTGGCTTAACCCTTCCTGGCCTCTCCTGGTCAAAAATAGCCTCACAGAGGGTGTATGCCCTCTTTGGGGGGCCACTTGTCGTGGGTCTTGGCTGTTGGGAGCTTTGTGGGGGTTGCAGTGACGTAAGGCTCAGCCCAGGACCTGGCAGGGCACTTTCCCATGGGAATGGTTGCCGAAATGTCCAAGCCTTGAGCTTACCTGGCATTTTGTGCAGTGTGTGTAGAAGGAGCCGTGTCCCGACCTGGAGGTCTGCTGGCCTCCACCTGCTCTGCCACCCAGAGGCACAGCCGCTCGCTGGCCTCAAAGCCTGTTCTCACCTGCAGAACATGATGCTTCTGGACCGTGGCCCTCGGTGCAGCCCAGCTATTGGGGCAGAAGGGAAAAACGGAGATGGGCTGGGCTGGAAACATTTTAAATGAAAAGACCGTGAGTTAGGTGGAGAGAACCAAAAGAAGCACTTCAGTAGGCATAGCAGGGACAAAACCTGAATGGATGTGCAACTTGCTGGATGCAGGGGCAGGACTGTGTGTTATGGTTTGGGGTGGTTGTGTGAGCCGATGCAGGCAGGACGCAGGAACAACCACAAAAACCACGGATTAAGGGCAAAGAACAATTTAATCTCAATACCTCATGGATCCAGGAACCTCTGAAGCAGCACCCGGGCAGAGGCAGGCAATCAGGGGACACAGGCACTGGGGAGCGAGAGTTCTTATTAGCAAGAGAGTCCTTGTTAGCAAGGGAGTGAGGGAGCGAGGGAGCTCCCACTTGCTGCTTGGGCCTGTATTTCAAGGCTTCTGGCAGGCAGTTTTCTGCTGTGCTTTGATTTCTTCAGCAGCAGGGCAAGAATCCCAGGTGTATTTGATAAGGTGCCCCTGAGTCCATCCCAGGCCTGTGTTATCTAAGTGCAGGTGTTCTACTTGTTGAGCACACAAAACTCAGCAACACTTAAGTGTGATAGATGTGTTTTCCAGCACCCCACATGCAAGTCAGTTGAGCCTATTTACAGTCCTCCTCACCAATCTTCCATTAGTTTCCCACAGTGGTGCCTTCCTTTCCCACATTCTTTGCAGGTGGCTGGGCTGGAGGGGGTGACCTGCACCCCTAGAAGATGCTGAAAAGGCCACCTGAAGCCAGCAGAAACCACACTCCTACCTGGAAAGTGCGGTCCCAGCGCGACGCCCAGTGGTAGGGGAGCACTGATGTCTCATCTTCGCCCTTCTCTTGCAGGTCTCAAAACTGGAGGTGGCTCTTCAGGAGGCTCAGGGAACACTTTCCACTACACCTTCCACGGAGACCCTCATGCCACCTTCGCATCCTTCTTTGGAGGCTCCAACCCTTTTGACATCTTCTTCGCTAGCAGCCGCTCCCGGATCTTCAATGGCTTTGACCAGGAAGACATGGATATCGATGACGATGACGACCCTTTCAGTGCCTTCGGTAGGTTTGGCTTCAATGGCATTAACGGGGTTCACCGGCGGCACCAAGAGTCCCTGCACACACGGAGGAAGGTCCAAGACCCACCCGTTATCCATGAGCTCAAGGTGTCCCTGGAAGAGATCTACCATGGCTCCACCAAGAGGATGAAGATCACCCGCAGAAGGCTCAACGCTGATGGCCGGACCATGCGGACTGAGGACAAGATCCTAAATATTGTCATCAAACGGGGTTGGAAGGAGGGAACCAAAATCACATTCCCCAAAGAAGGGGACGCCACCCCGGACAACATCCCTGCCGACATTGTCTTCATCCTCAAGGACAAGCCTCACTCACACTTCAAGAGGGATGGGACGAATGTGGTCTACACGGCAAACATCAGTCTTAAAGAGGTGGGTATGGGTGGGAGATCCCATGGGGTGGGAGGTGGTGCTGGGTGGTGGCCAAGATGGGAGTCAGTCCTTGTCCTGTGCCAATGAAGAAGGACCAGGTAGGTCGCGAGAGACGTGAGCAAAGACCTCTGCAGAGGGGAGCTGCAGGGGCCAACTTGTGGTTAGTTTTTTGGAGGTGCTCAAGCTCCATGCTGGGAGTAGGACATGGGTGGCTGTGGTCCCTGCTGAACGCGCCTTGCTTCTTGCGCCAATACAGGTGGTATTTACCCATTTTCTCCCTTCCCCATATGTCTTGTCCTTCTATTTTAGCGTAGGGTATTCACATGTGGAAGGGAGCCCAGATCCTCCGTAGGAACAAGGGAAAGCCCAAGTTGGCTGGCATGAGTCTGCTCCCTGTTTCTTCTCGTAGTTGAGCCTGCTGTGGTTTAATTACTGTCCGGGATAGCGCGGGGACCCTCTCCCCACGGACAGAGAGCAGGGTCATGCAGAGAGGTGGTACCTTCCCCCTCTCCAGAGCAAGCTTTAGCCAAATCCAGCTGTGTTCCTTGGTTCTGATGAAGGAACTGAGATAAAGAGCCAAATAAATGAAATATTGGGGCGGTGAGCAAACCCCAGTGCATCCAGGCTGCCAGCCCTGGAGGTCACATCGGGGCTGGATGCATCACAGCCAGGGAGCTGCGCGAAGGTGGGAGAAGAAGGGGAGATTACCCCAGTACAAGATGTGCCGTTCGGCGCTGCTGCTGGATAACTACCTTTTAATAAATCCCTGCTGGCAGCTGCATTTAACATTGACGTTTTTGGCAGCTGCCATTTGCTGTTCCTTTCAGACTGTAGACGCTGTCTGTCTTCTTAATGAGCTGGGTCTTTTTTCTTTTTTTTTTTTTTTCTCCTTTCTGAAGACAGATTTATGTTCTGAAATGCATTTAATAGAAATAAGCTCAATGGGCCAGACCTGAGGCAGGGAAACGTGAGCTCGTTAGCCTGCCAGCCGGTTGGGAGAGCCTTGCGGTGGCTCTGGGTCCCAGCTGGGGCTGTGGGCGGGTGTACTGGGGGCAAGGGGCAGACACGTGGGTCGGGCAGAGCTTGGGTGCTGCTGGAGCAAATGCAGCTCAAGTTAACCCACAGGCTCAGGAGTTGAATTTCCTTCGCAGTGCAAAGCGAGGGGGTTTATTCCTGCAGTGGCTGGATCCCCCGGCCGCTCCAGAAATACTCAGGAGAGGCTGCCTTATTTATGGAGCCCTGCGTGCCATATCTCAGATCTTTCCTTCTGTGCTTTCCCCCGTCTGTAAAATTAACCCCGATCTGTCTGTGCTGATGTCCAGACAACGTTACCCTGTGTTCCAGGCTGGAGGGGGCTCTCGCTTGGAGCTGCCCTTGGAGCAGCAAGTGGAGAAACCTTCTCTGGCCCCACGTGCTATTGCACCAGAAGTGCTAGAGCTGGGCACCCGTGATCTCCGTGAGCAAGGTGTTTGGTTTGGACAATGCAGGCACAATGTGGAAAACTGCTGGTCTGGGCAGATTCCTCATCCTTTTGAGCTGGATTGTCTGGTCTCTGTCCTCCCCCACTGCAAATCCTACGTGCTGAGCTGCTGGCCCGGCTGCCGTCGCCAGCTGGCTGCCTGACAGGGCAGGGTGATACTTTGCTACTTTTATCATCCATGAGGAGAAGTACCTTAAGTGATCTGGAGCACGAGCAGATGCTGGGAGATCCCCAGCTCCTTATGCCACCACCGCGGTATGTGACGGAGCGCATCGTGGTGCACCTCTCCGTCACCTGAGCCTATGGCCGTAGCCTCGGGCGCTCTCCTTGCACCCTTCTTCCCTGTGAGTCTTGCCCTTTTTAGCTCTAGCTTTAGTCCTTTTCCACGGCACAGTGCCAGCAGGCAAAGCTGGCAGGCAGTGGGTGCTGTGACCTGACTGGTGGACCCTGGAGACCCCCTCACCACCACCTTGCTGCCATGGGGAGCAAGACACCTGGTGCTGGGGGCTGGAGGCACTCAGGAGAGCATCTTCCTCCTCCTCCACTTCTCTTCCATCCCACAGGGAAGGCGATGGCCTCCCAGCCCTTCTGGGTGCCACCTTCCTCCAGCTGGGTCACCACAGGGTGTTTGCCACCTTGCTGCTGCAGAAGCCAGAGGTGTCTGAGGGCTTCCCCAGGGACTGCGGGGAAGTGTCCCTTCCTAAAATTAGAGGCGTGTGCCGCCGCGAGAGGCCGAGGGCGGGAGGAAGGATGCCTCCACTCTTCCTGGGAGGCAGATCTTCAGGCAGCGCCGCTGGCGAGGGCTTGCAACTTGCCTGGCTGCTGCACGCCTGCCCTCGGCACAGCCTCCCACTTTGCATCCTTTACCTGGCGTCACCTTCCTCGAAGCACCCACACGTCAGCGCCCGGCTGAGACGCGGCCGGTGGCAACGTCCTTGTCCCCGTCCCCCTCTCTCCCTCCCTCCCTCTCTCCCTCCCCGGGGTGGCTTCGCTGGGAGCGGAGGAGGACCCGGCTCTGACCTAGATAGAGCTCTGCTCTGGCAGCGCGGCGCTGGGCCACCAAACCCGGGGTGACTTCATCCCCACGGGGATAAGCCCAGCCTCTTTCTAGGATAAGGGGGGCAGCTCCCGCCCTTGCGGGTGTTACTTCAGCAGCCGGCTTCCCAAATGCCAGCGAAGTTGGGCAAGAAGAATGAAAAACAGGGACATACGGCGGAGGAGCAGCCGCCTCAGATTCTCGCATCTTGGCTCCAGGGAGGAAACATTAAGATCCCCGTCTGCCTTCGCTCCTACCGCCCGCTCCTGCTCCCGTCCCTCCATTTGCCCCATCCACCTGCTCCCATAGGGACTTCCCTCTTCTCTTCCCCGTTTTTGTAGCTGGAGATGTCCTTTCCCTGTCACTCGTGGACCCTTGCAGCCCTCCACAGTGCTGGAGGGTGGGCATGGGCAAAGCAGCAGGGTTCCAGCATCCTTGGCTGAGCACGGGGCAGAAATGGATTGATGGAGGGAGACCCTCCTTCGCTCCCCCCCGCCCAAACTCCTGGAGGTCCAGCCAAGCACCTGCTGCTCTCATGGAGCTGGCGATGAACATCCTCCTGCAGCCAGAAAAGTTCATCCCTGGAGGAGACCCTTCCCAGAAGGAGACCCTCGTGCGGAGGAGCTGTGCAAGGAGATGGCCCCATCTCTCCTGTTCTCTGCTCACAGGAGCCCACCAGCTGGCTCTGGCACGGGTCCCTGCGAGATCACCCTGGTGCAAAGCCCTGGCTCAGCTGCAGAAACCACAGCCATTGGCCATGAGCCAGCGGTCAGCAAGAGAAGAGATGTTTCTCCTGATGCCTGTTGCTGCTGTGCCACCGGAGGCTTTTCCAGGGGAGGGGGATGCGAAAAATCTTCCCCCCTCCCCCCCATCTACCCCAAAAATAGCAACTGCATCCTCCCCCCTCCCTTTGCAGGCCGTTTTGGGAGGGTTGGGACCCCCCAGGACCTGGCTCGGAGGGGTGAACCTGCACCAGCTCCCTTGTCTGGAAGCTGGAGGCTGTACCCCCAGCACCCCCCTCCCTCTCCCCC